ACGCTGGTGTACCACATCGGCAAGAGACCACCCTGCTACTAATAGATCATGTACAGGTTTTACCTTTTATAGAATCTGTGAATAACAAAGTATAGTTGAATGCCCTTCGCATAACTGCCATGTCGACACGATTAATCGATGGTACGCGTAAATTGAAAGAACAGTGGTGGCCATGAGCGGTAGTTGTCGAGTCTCGGATTAGTTCACTTGCAAAGAGGAGCCCGAGATAAACGACAAGCTCGCCCCTTTTGTGAATTGAGCATCGAAGTCGCACTGTCGCAGTGAAGTCGATCTGGATTGGTCCGATTCTCCAGGGAAAGCCAAATGGAGGAGCAGATGGATTGGAGCAGGAGGGAAGGAGAGGACCTGAGAACCAGTACCTCCACCGCGTCTTTAGTACTAGCACTTGTTGCGGTTGACGAAATGCAGAATCCAAAAAATAAAAATAAACTCGATTGGTCAGCCTCCTCTTCCGGAAAGAATCGGATATCGATTTATGTAATTATTTATAACGTTATTTACTAGCTTCAATTTGAAATATATCTCGTGGCGACCTTCCCTCAACATTCCTCAGTGATGCTGTCCTAAGAAATAACGGCTTGCTGTAAGTATACTTGTCCGGCATTCTAGCAACTGCAGAATAAATCCGCTGGTGCACCAACAGGATATTCTACTCCGGCTCCGTTGAAAGGCGTGGACAGTTGTGAATTAAGTTTCGGCGAAAGACTCGCAGAGAGGTGCGGCCACGATGTTGGCAATAATTCCGTGGGTTCACATATCATACAGCCACCGAGCTCGCAGTAACGATTAATACCTCTCTTTCCGGCTCATCACTCGCTATCCGTAAGTGAGCAGGCCGGATAACCACTACCGCTCAATGCTCTGGACATCCTGGCATCATACCCGGCTTCAGCAATCCAATTTCTCCTCCCAAAGCCCCAGAGACCATCGAAATGGGTACGTAACCTCAATACTACACGAGTGTGACTAAATTTCACTATGCGAAAAAGCAGTGACGTCAAAATGAGCACGGGGGAATATACCTGCATTCTTCGACATGACTGTCAATTCGACACCTTGGAAAGTCATTCCCTTGGCCAGTATGAAAGCCGTGTGGCCCTTCCTTATCCTTATGCTTTGCTTGTCTCGCTACTTACAAAATATCTCCGAAACACTATGCTTCAGTTCCGAACTGATTTAAAAAGCGGTCTTTTCTTTCTTGATGTCAGAGTCTAAAAGAGCGACCAATTTATTCTCGTGCACCTCGATTTTCTCGGGTCTCCTCTTACGCACAGTATCTGTTGCCCTCACTGGGATGGACCGGTCTCTGCTCTTGGGTTGGCGCTCGGCACCCGATTGTGATACAGAAATTATCGAGAACCCGACATACATACTTCCCCTCACCGATATGCGGATACACGAGACTTGTACAAAGATGAATATGGAGCGGGCCGCGCCATCAGCTATTAACTGACATAGTTAATGTGACCATAACAAGTATGTCTGCGCCTTACCTGTGCTCAATAAAAGTTTGCTAACCTTGTAAAGGCATAGTCTAAAACAAGCTATCTCCTTCAATCCACTCGCCAATTTTGGTCCCTTGCGCACAATTGCCTCTGCCATCATGGGCCGGCTCTCCATCCCTCTGTATTCTTTGCCTATCTCTCTTATATCCATGCGCTACCCTTGTGTGTCACGTATAACAGGAGGTTACTCGTTCAAATCCGGGAAGATCACTTGTTTCATCTCTTCTGCTATAACTTACCCTCCCTACGTAGCTGGGAGCATTGTACGCCAGCAACTATGATATGCCCATGGTCTGGAGGAGATAGTAAATAGTGCAATGAGGCTCAAGACAGGAGATAAAGCATCTCAGTGCCCGTATAGGGTCTCTGAAATGTATCCTGTTTAAAGGGCATTGAATGTGACGGCATCCTATTGCGGTGCCTGTGCTTAAGTCCTAGACGGTGGAAATCAAACAGCCCCAATGTGCCGTTCTTCTACTATCCTCCTTCAGTCTCAGTATGAAACACATTATTCAATATGCCGTTGACGAGGTCATATAAGGGCAGTCGAGCTTCCGACTTTCACGATATCAGCGCCTGCTATGGAAATCGTCCGCCTGCAACCTGGCCCCGCTTTTGAGGCCGCCTCTACATCTCCGGCCTTTTCGGTCGACAAGTATAACGATAATATTGAGATAATCGTTGATGATGATTACATTGTAGATGGCGTCATGGAGAGAAGGCATGTTCGCTCGTCTTTGCCCGAATGGAATTACAGCTTAAGCTCGTCATTACTAGAGTACTTAGGCGACTTGATCTTCGTGTCATGCCCTCATTGATATTGATGTCTCTGTTCAGCTTTCTAGCTCGAGCTAACATCGTGCGTAGCCCTCTCTGAATCGTGTCCAAAATCTCATATCTCACTAAAGGGAAATGCCAGGATTCTAAACGCTGATAGCGGCGACTCCCTCCTCCAAACTCTACATATGACAGATCAACAATTCCTTACTGTGCTGGCAATGTTCGTCGTCCCATTGGCAGTGTTCGAGACCCCGTCAAATTATATGCTCAAATACTTCTCTGCGCCACATTGGTTTGCCTTTCTCCTGCTCGGGTGGGGAGCAACCGATATGATCATAGCCGCATCTCGGAACTATTCCACATTAATTGGTCTACGGTTTTTGCTGGGCACGTTCGAGGCAGGTCCGTTGGAAGGCCTTCCACTTTAATCTTTCCGATCTGATATCACTTTCTAGGTTTTTTCCCCGGAATGATATACTTCCTTACGTTGTTCGTCCTCTGCGCTTCCTACTCTTCTATGCCGTCCTGAGTTCACGATCTTGCAGTTGGTATCGACTCCAAGAGCGTGCGATCCGTTTATCGTATGTCATCGCAGGCGCGCCACTCGGGGGCGCATTCGGCGGTAGCATCGCGTACGGAGTAGGGTTCATCAATGGTGCTCGAGGTCTCCAAGGTTGGCGATGGCTGTTCATCATCGAAGGCGCCCCATCCTGTCTCCTCGCGATAATTGTGTACTTCTTCTTTCCCTCCTACCCTGAGAGGGCAGCTTGGTTATCATCAGAAGACCGCCTTCTCGCCATCCGCCGGCTGAACCAGGAGTCATCCAGGTCTCTAGGGCATGCAAGGATTACGTGGGATGGGGCGAAGGCCTCGCTGAAGGACTGGCGGTTATATCTGCACTATATCGTGTTTATCTCTGTGTCGGTGCCGTTTTCGAGTATATCGCTATTTACACCGACCATCGTGAATGGGCTCGGGTACAGAGGGCTCAGTGCTCAGCTCTTTACGGTACCGCCCTTTGCGGTGGCGTTCTTGGCTACCGTAGGAGTGTCCTGGATGGCGGATCGGTATCGGATCTGGTCAATATGTGGTATGGTGTCAATGGTACTGGCAGGAATGACTTTCATTATTCATGGTAAGCCTCTAGTGATGACTTCTCTGAGTAGTGCTGAAAGATATGTGTCTGCAGGTTCGCTACCACCAACATCATTCAAGGCGCGGTATGTGATGCTCTGCCTAGGAACGATGTTCTCCTACGCTGGCAACCCCTCACTACTAGCCTGGCTTACCGGAAATCTGCGTGATACTAACGCGACAACACTCGCAATTCCGGTCAATGTCGCTTTTGGGGCGTCGGGCCAGATGATAGGTCAGTCGCCATTTCGAGGGTTTGGCTCATGTGGCTGAACGCATATTCAGGAATATTCATATACAAGTCAAGCGAAGCTCCTGGGTATGCAACCGGACATTTTACGAATGGGGCGGTGATGCTTCTAGGTGCGGTAGGTGTCGGAATTTTGAGGATTATCTATAAGCGGAGGAATCGGGAGCTGGGTGTCGGCCAAAGTCCTTGGATAGTGTAACTGCCTATGACATCGCTGCGAAAATAAAATTACTTAGTGGTAAACGTAACGCAAGAAAACACTCAGTGAGAAACTAGAGCTGACAAATGCTATACTATTCGTACATCATAATGTCATAAATAAAGAATTCGCCCTCTGATCCCACAAGGTGATAGATTTTACAAGCTGCCGTGAAAATATCTTTCGCCCTTTGCACCATTCCTTCCCAGTCAGCTTTGTCATCTTTGCAGTGACTTATCCACTTCGGTGACAACCAGCTTGTACCAGGACATACGCCAGCCAATCTCCTATAGTATTCGGGGAGAGATTCCTGCATGGTTCCGACAGGCCCGGTCCTCTTTTGGCACTGCTACCTGACCCACAGTTGCGGGCCTGGTGATCTTGTAGTGGATGCACCCTGAAACAAACACGGACTCGGTTGTCATCTAATTTAATACGAATAAACTCAATATGATCTATATGAGGATCAAGACTTGTTTTTAACTTAAGTTGGGGCTCAGAGCCGGGCCCACAAAAAATGAATAATTCGGCCTAAAATGGTCGTAGAGGTTAGATTCTAGATGTGGAAAGTTCCTTGAGCCCAAGTTTGAGATGCTAGTAAATGGGCAAAAGCTTTTACCTTTGGAAAACAAAAAAGACCGTCACGGTTGGCCACTCAGCGAGAACTTAAAAAAGGGAATCCTGATTGTCACAAGCACCTGAGGCGACTAAATGTAGATTTCTCAAATATCGGAAGCTTCTGCAGACAGTTGGAACTTTGAGCGGCGCCGATTGTTTTGGAATGTCAAATTCTCTGCCAGACTAGACCTACTGTTTCTTGACTGATCTTGGATTGTTCCATTTTTTTTAAACTAATAAAGATAAATTCGGGTCTTAGCACTTCACGTAAACTGACAAGACTGTCAGTGACTGGGAGAAGAATACTTCAATAGTCAATAGGAAAATATACAGTACTTACATCGTGAATATTTCGAAGCGTGGAGACGCTGCCAAGCAGAAAGAATACTTACCTAGACCCTACGACTCAGACCTTTCAATTACCTAATACCGATTATCGTAACCGATACTCAAAGCGCGGCAAAAAAGGACCGGAGAATAAGGGGCATGGTTATACCGACGACGAGGATCGAACTCGCAACCTTCGCCTGTCACTATTCTAAATAGGAAAGCGACGCGCTACCATTGCGCTACGACGGCTCCACATTGTAATTCCAGGATATACCTTAGATGGCACTCAACAGCAAAGGTTCCAGTAATATCGTCAAATCTTTTTGTTGACATCGCTGAATCCGGGGAAAACATGTAAGGTCTTACATCCGAATGTCATTGGCATAATGTGCAGTGATACGTACAATATGAAATAGCATTATAGCCTACCTTGTATTACAATATATGTGCAGGTCAATTCGATAATCCATATAATCCGAGCGTGCCCGTGATGTGACCTTGTAATTCATGTCACCGTGATATCAAACCCTAATTGAACACAAGCCTCATCAAAAGTATATGATCCCTGTCGCCGTGATACCAAATCATAACTGAACCCGAGCCTTGCCAAGATATGTAATACTCCGCGATCATGATAGGCATGCACTGTATTCAGACAGGCTAATCAAAAATTATCATTTAGTTCAATAGTCACTTATCATTCTAGTTGATTATCACGCTAATTCAAAGATGGCAATGAAGATAACATATATTGCAAAATGTAATACTACTACGGCTATGGTACTCGTACACGGCATGCCTGTCGCTGCGCTAAAAGTAATTTCCTTGAATTTGTGACCGTCGTTTTTGCCTCAGGTCCCTTAACAGAGTTGGGAAAAACACGCCTAACAGAGAGAATCATTCATCAGACTCGAAGTATTATGGAAGAAGTGAATCACGTACTTTGTCCACCATTCAAGGAGCTTGTTGGCAGCAACCTTGGACTCAGCATCGGCAGGACCTTCGAAATAATCAACCACAAAGTTCCATAAACCCTCATAGCTGAAGCCACAGTAGTCTTCCTGCCACACTGACGCATCCGTGAGATTGAAATGGAGCTTTCATTGACCATTAGCATATAGGCACGCATGAGAAAAGGGAACATACCAAGACAGCCGCATAAGCAATCGTTCAAGGGGTCACTTGGCCATCAAGGCAACAGAGAGAAGCAACGTTACCCTTTGTTGAGCACTTGTTCGACCCTTTAGACTTCTTCGCAGGTGGCTCATTCTCCTGATCATCAATAGATCCGGCTGATGATGGAGATGTAAATATAGCAGCCCAGGTCTAGATGTCCGAGTAGTTAGGATCTGTAGTTCACGCATAGCATAGTAAACATACCTTTAAGAGGAGTGCAGAGCGTAGAAAACCCTTGTCAAGATCATCAGGATCACCCTTTTCATTGGCATAGAAGCAACGACAGAAATAATTGCTTGCAAGAGCAACGTTCGGATCTGTTCCTGTCCGAATAGTTGTACGAACGCTGATAAACAATACTATCAGCATCATATTAAGTAGCGCAAGATGAGTTACCTTTCATTGTCCCAATCAAACAGCACGGAACAGAGAAGCCTTCCAGCAATGTCATTCTGAATACCACGGCCGATACGGTCCTGAGCGCTGAATGGTATACTAGGCTTGAAGCGAGAGGTGTTGAGCTGAGAGGCGATCTCTATTTTGATACGAGACACATCCGATGTTCTTCCATCATTGGCATGAACTTGGAGCTACAAAATGTATGTCAGAGCAGAATTTCATGAAGATGACTACATACCCCTGCCAGATATGCCTCGAGTTCCTCTGGTTCTACCTCAGGATCGAACATCTTCCTTTTCAACTCCGGGACAAGCTGTATCATTATGAGAAAGCCAGCATATAAACAATCTTGACTGCGAGGTATTAGACTATAGCTCTATATTGTGATAAAAACTTACTCGGCCTTTACATCCTCATCTTCAGTCGAACTAGCATCACCTTCTTCCTCAGCTGCAGCTGCACGTCGATCTGCCTCTGCAATGAGACGAGTTAATGGCCCAAACATAGCAACAGCTTTGCGCAGGGCACGGCCTACAGTGAAGTCGGATCTATAGCAGACATTTGAACTGGTTGAATAGAAACCACAGACAGCGTACCTAGCCCGTTTCTTACTCCCCAGAGCCTCTGCTAATGCGCTCTTGGTTACTTCGAGCTCTCGGCGTGTGCGTACATACTCAGCCACCTCAGAGCTTGCCTCAGATGCAGGTAAGGAACTGGCAGATGGGGTAGAGGAGCGAGTGATGCTTGAGGACATTGGAGGTGGGAGAATGAAGCCCTGGACGTCCGAATTTCCTTCATTTATATGTGCCATGCCATGGAAACAATCAACAAAGTCATGGATTGCACATGATACGGAATTGTTGCGGATTAGGATACAGAGAGGGGCAAGTGGAGGTGTTTCGAGCTTGTCTAGAATTAGATTAGGGGGATAAATATCATATCATAATAGGCACCTTTGACACCGCCCACCAATTCTGCAAGCCCAGAAGGAGCAAGAAATTAGATCATGGAATATAGTTGGGAAATATTCAGGCCAGGTTTACTAGCATTCAAGATAAAAGGCTGATGTTTAAGAGCGGAAGAGACAGATGGTCAACACATGCTCACCATGCGATCTTTTTCTAACTCCGCTGCAGATGTCGTCTCCCTAATTTCATCTTATATGGTCGCACGTCATCTCTATAGCTTCAATATTACCCCTCCAAGTCAGCGATGGCTTTACAGATTAAAAGATAAGATGAAGCAAACAAAAATTGTGCCTTCGGCTCTCTACCTTAGCCTTCGGATGTCCTCTACTTAAGCATCTCCTGAAATGCTGCGCTCTGCTATGTCATATAATCGTTGTCGTTCTCTCCAGTTTACTATTCTTATTTTCTGTGTCATCTTTCTAGTATCCTCTCTTAGTTCAAGGGCTTCCTGCACAATCTCAATGGCACCAGGACCAAGTCGTAGCAATTATTCTTGTGTTGAAGGATGCCCTTCAGACGTCTTTGGTGGTACGGGACCGCTACAGCAGCATCAAAAGACATGTCAGGTCTATCTGCAGTCGAAAAAACGAAGTAAGGATCATCGTCTACGAGTTGCTGGTGACTACAAGGCAGCGAGAGTGGAGAGAGCTCACAGGATGGCAACTTTATTGGTGAATATCCAGCCATTTGCCGCATAAATGTCTCATCTTATTTGAATTTAAATTCTCTCCATAATAGGGTGCTGAGCCGGCTACCTCTCAGTCAAGGTCCAAGTCTGCTGCCAGCCCATCTAGTTCGCTGGGAGGATTGAAGCACAGAGAAGCTTCTCCCATATTTGATGAAAACCCTACCAGTCAGCCTATGGATTTTGACGAAGTCCGAGTCAATCCTGAGGCTGAATTAGATTGTGAAAATGATCTTCAGGGTAGCCCTCTCCCCCCAGTTACTTCTCCGCCACCTTCTGAGACAGCAACAGGCCGTCCTTGTCGCATACACATTGCTCCTGCACGCTTCCGTGATATCTGTCCTGAACCAGTGGCACCCATACCACAGCCATCAGACTTGCCATCCCAAAGCACTGCGGCTATTCTTCCACGTGTGTGGCTGCTTGTGCACGACCAAGTCAGAACAGTTGCAAACGTGTTTGGCCTATGGCGTGAGTATCCTCACTGCCCTTCATATGAACCCGATGCATTCTTGCAGCCAGAGGATTTACTTAACTATGATAAATCCTCGAGCTCAAACCCTGTCAATCCTGATTCCCTGCTTTCTTTGGAGATTTCACAAGCTACAACACTGTCTTCATTTCCTCCTCCATGGCCCTTTGCGAATATGGCCCGGTTTGCGCTTATGAAATGGGTGAATAACAGCCATATTCGGAAATCCGAGGCTGAAATAGATAAACTCGTTAAAGATGTTCTTCTCTCGCCGCATTTCCGCCAAGATGATCTCGAAGGCTTTAGCTGTCATGCAGAGAATGCTCAGCTAGATGCTGCAGCAACAGAAGGAGACAATCCACTGCTGCAGGCCTTCAAGCAGACAGATATCTCCATTGATATCCCTTCTGGTGAACCAAGCACGCCTCCTGCATCTTATTCAGTCCCTGGATTACTGTATCGAAAAATTACAGATGTTATCCGATCTGCATTCGCCGAGCCTCTTGCCCACCAATTCCATTTCTCCCCATTTCGTCTCTTTCACAGCTCATCAGACACCGAGACCACTCGTGTGTATAGTGAACTTTACAACTCTGATGCGTTCATCAAAGCCCATGATGATATCCAGTTCCATGGAAAGATTCATCCTGACGAAGCAGGATGTACTTTAGAGAAGGTGATTGCGGCTCTGATGTGCTTCTCGGATGCCACCCATCTTGCTCAGTTTGGTAATGCCAAAGCATGGCCGATATACCTTGTTTTTGGAAACCTGTCAAAATATTTTCGGGCTCGACCTTCCTGTGGTGCGATGCATCATTTGGCATATGTTCCCTCGGTATGATGATTGTATCTTTTGTCTCAACAAGAATTCCATTGAATTGAACCTCTAATTTAGTTACCTGACTCTTTTCAAGACTTCGCAAGCCAATTTCATTGCAAGTGGAAATCACAGAAGCGGGATATCCTTGCTCATTGCCGAAGAGAGCTCATGCATGCCATCTGGAATTTCCTTCTTGATGATGATTTCATGCACGCCTATCACTATGGTATAGTCATTGATTGTATTGATGGGGTCAGACGACGCATATATCCGAGATTGTTCACATACTCAGCTGATTATCCCGAAAAGTCGGTCCGAGTCTGATGTTTCATTTTCTCTTGATCTGACTTCGCTTGTTGCTGCAGGGTACTGTTAGCAACCATCCGTGACAATGGCCTGTGTCCCTGTCCACGATGTTTTATTCCAAAGGTAAAACTGGACCGGCTTGGTCAGAAATGAGATGACAAGATATGCACAAGAAACCTGCGAACATACTTTTTTGATGGTGTTATAATCGCTCGCCGTGCAATCTACTCGCTGGCACGTGCAATCGGCGGCTCTGTGATAGACAGGCTACTCAAGCCGACATCCCATGTTCCAACACTGGTAAAAAAAGTTGATCTTGGTTCATAACTTGGATAAAGACTCATAAATTGTCTGTAGAATGCTTTTATCAATCGTATCGGAAGGGAGTTCAATCTGTTTCAAATGCTTGTAGTGGACCTATTG